TATATATGTATATATATATATATATATATATATGTATGTATATGTGTATGTGTATGTTTATATATATGTAAATGTATATGCATATTTATATGTATATGTATATGTATATGTATATGTATATGTATATGTATATGTATATGTATATGTATATGCATATTTATACATGTATATATGTGTAAATAAATACGTTATATGTGTATATATGTGTAAATAAATACGTATATGTTTGTTATAAAAAAACCACCACAGAGCGAATAGAATTTGTGCCCAAAAAAAAAGGATTATCTTAGATAGTCACACATCCTTGCCACTGCGCGGTTGATGTTGTGTGAGTGTCGAAAAATTTAAGTGATAACTAATTATTGTGATTGGGTCACAGGCGAGAGCGGCAGACTTAGTGGTCGTAGGTGAAAGCCTCAGACTTAGTGGTCGCAGGCGAGAATCGCTGTTAAAGTGATCGTAGGCGAGAGCCTGGTTTCAGATTCCGACGTGTCGGAAAGTATTGTAGGCTTAAAATCTTTCCGACATGTCGGAAAGTATTTGACGTAGTATAGAGTTTCCGACATGTCACCGACCAAATATTTTCAGATACCATAATTGACGCCTAATAAATACAGAGAATAATAAAAATACATATGATTTTCTATACTTTACTTGGCGCATATTTGAGATTGTCGTAACAGTGTTTCACCTGTGTATTGTTTACGTCTCTAACGTGCACTTGCTACTATGTTTTTAAAAAATGACCGTGCTGAAATAATAAAGGACATCAAGTCTTGCGACAAAAAAGCAAGCAGCATTTAAAAATAAAAATAAAATACAATGATATGTTTGCAAGTCAGCAAGTGTTGAAATGATTGTGGACGCCCGTAAAATGGATGGTCTGAAACTACTTTCAGACCACCTTTTCCAACGTGTCGGAAAGTTTTGAAGGTTTAAAACATTTCTGATATGTTGGCAACCTCTCCGACCATGTCTGAAACCAGGTCATATAATAATTTGTTATAAATTATTGACAGAGTGGAAGTGAAGTTGTTGTGAGTTTGTGACTTCACTGACTTCTTGCGTGTCAGGCTGTCAGCCATCAGCAATCAGCAGTCAGCAATCAACAGTCAGCAGTCAGCAGTCAGCAGGCAGCAGTCAGCAGTTTGCACTGTCAGCAGCGGTCAGCAGTTCAGCACTCAGCACTGTCAGCAGTCAGCAACTCGGCACTGTCAAGTGCCAACTTGTGTCAAGTGTCAACAGTTCAGCACTGTATGTCAGAAGCCTATGTTTCAGTTTTCACAGTTTTTAGTTTTTTAACTTTTGACTTTTGACTTTTGATATCTGTCAGTGACAGATAGTCTCATATCACTCTCATATATAACTCTCATCACTCTTATTTACGCAAGTGAGTCAAGTCTCATCAGTAAGTCCAGTTTTTATTTATTTATAGCACCTCAGTTCTAGCTTCTAACGTCTTATCGTCTACAGGGGTGGACAACAAAAACAGTAAATAGGTTTTTTGAAGACGGGGATTTTTACTATAGAGGTTGACCCAGAGGTACATTAACTATTTACTTTCATTGGTCGTTAAATAGAATAATATGTTCGTTTTGACGAGTTAGCCACGCATTTTAAATCTCATCCCGCTCGGGCTATTGGTTAAAAAGTTTAGGCTAATACTGGTTTGTACCAGAACTGGGTCAAACCAGCCACAACTTGGCGCAAATTCAGGCCATCTATAAATAAAACCACAAATATAAATAAGCCTCTAAAATGACGAATTTACTATTTTGATATTATTATTACTATTACTAGTTTTGTTTTGTAGAAAAAACCCTCCCAATACTGTATGTATGTATGTGCAATTGTACATACATAGATATTTAATTAAAAATATGTACAGTACATATGTACTGTACTTTCTTTTTTTGTTTCAACAAAGAAGATTTGTGCTGGTTTTGAAAAACAACATCGTTTTATTTCATTTCATTTTTTTCATTCGTATATTTGTACTGTTTGAACATATTGTATACTGTTATTGGGTTTCTTAAAAAAAGAGAAGATTTACACTTTGGGTTCTTTTTTAAAAAACATAAAATATTTTAAACTAAAACAAATATTTTTAGAAACATAAAAACAAAACAATTTGAATAAAGCATTTTGGTTGTTTGTTTTTTGTTTTGTTTTTTAAAAATAAATTTTTATGTATTTTGGGCTCGGCAGGGACCTACTATTACTACTCTACTACACTCTACTCTCTACTCTAGTAGTCCCCACCCGCAGAGTAGTTTTATCTCTAGTATTTAGTATATTTGTGTCAAAGGCAACAAAATAATACAAAAGCACAACACGCAATTCGAAAACGCGCCATAATTAGATGATATCTTCGTGGTTAAAAGGACCTTGTTTTAGGAAAGTCTTTTCACGAATCACTAAAGCATGCGGGATAATTTCGTGCCCTTATTCGAGACGGCTGCGCTTGGGATCGCGCTGTTTGTCTCCACAACAGTTACGTGCACGTTCTTGGAACGTTATATCACATCTAATCGTGGTGTTGTAAATTTGAGTGGCCTGGCTGCGGGATGTTTGGCAGTCGTATACTCGCTCTATGCGTTGACAGTAACGTTCGCTGGCATCTCCGATGACTTCAACTGCACAGTTCTACAAGCTATTAATGGAACTTGTATGTCTGCTTCCAATGCGTTGTGCTTTGGCCACCTTTTTTTTAAGGTTTACGCGAGTAACAAAAATTCATCTTCGTGGAAGTACACAAAGTGGATTGGAGGATTCTCAACTGTTTTTAACTGGGTCACGCTGATCGTTGTCCATGCACTTGTTGAAGGTACAACCCAGGAAGATTGTGGTGGTCTAACCTGTGTCTTCAAGTTTGAAAAAATCAGTTTCCATCTCAAATGGGCGGCTCAGCTAATCAATCAGTTTGTTATGGGGTACTTATTCTTACGACCGTTATGTAATAACATAGTCGTAAGACACCGAGATAGACCTAATTCAAGATGGGGTGACTTGTTTACTACATCTGATACGCGCATACAGTTGATGACACGCTCAGTTGTTGCGATCTCAATCAGTATACTCTTTACACTAGCCGTAACCGTCTGCGTCTGGGTCAAACTGGCTGAGGGACCTAATGTAGTAATACCTGTATTCGGCTTGGCGGTACTTGATAATGCTGTTAATCTTTACACCATCGCTTTAGCTGTGAACCTGACTATAGCAACTGACGATCCAATTGATCTCACTATGAGTGGGGGAATGGGCAATACTTTGCATTCGGTACAATCGATGAAGTCTCGACGTAGCTCTCGCAGACAGAAATCGCAGAAGAGCGAGGTTAGACAAGTTTCAGAATCACAATTTCCCCATTCCGAGCGCTCGCTTGTACCCCAATCCGATCGCACTATCACTTTAGATGGAAGCAGTACAGCTGGCAGCCTATCGGACGCCCCAAGCAGTGCGAATGGGGTGCCCCCTGCATATGTATGCTAAAACTCAAATATCACCGATTTGCTGTCAGACCAATAAAGGGAATCTAAAACGCACAGTAAAAGAATGATCCGTGACGTCTTTACTGCGGAGGTGGGGCTTCGAGGAAAGCATTTCCAAAGCGGTTTCAGATTCTATAATTAACAAGGCGAGTGTGACACGAGTTTAATTAATACCTAGTTGAATCAGTGCATTCGATAGCTTTTTGGTTCAGTTTATTTGATAACTGATTGATTTAGTCCGATTGATAGCGTCTCAACTGGGCACCTATTGAAGCATTCGATGAGTGGTTGCGATGTTCGTTTATCTTGATTAAAATGACTTCTCAAATATTGGAACATGAAAATAAAATATATTTACGAAGAATGTACCACTCTGTTGTCAGAATTAAACAAGAAGTAACACGAGTGAATTGAAAATACAACATTTTATTTGCTCGGTAAAGCTTGGGTGCACATCCTGGTTTTCTTCTTATGTCGATGTCAGCACTATCAAAATTCCGTACATCCCCTTATTGTCTCGACTCGTCGTATGCTATGTTCATTTCCCTGAGACACAGCCGGAGATGAGTGAACTTTTCACAACAAGCAAATGACTGGACATATTTACTCTTATTAAATACACTCTTCATCACACTTCATATAAATAAAGTTCGTAGTACTGCACAAAGTTCATAGTCACCCAGTGAAGCTACTAAGGCCTGTCAGGAGCATTTTAAAGAGTGAGGCATTGCATCCAAGATTTAATCAGGGAAATACGCGCGCTTTTTATTTGGGAGTAAATATATCAAATTTGGGCCAAACTATAACTTTTTTCGAATTTTACACAATATTTAAAGAAATCAATTTTTTTAGGACTGTCAAATACTAATTTGTATATTTGTGTAACCTGACATTATTAGTAGTTGGTACCTAGCTTGGGAATATAAATACAATGCCAATAATAAAATAAAATGGGAATATACTGCAGAATATAATGGGAATCGAGAATTCTAAAGCCGAAACGTGACTGCCGCTCATGTGAAAAGCGATTACAGATCATTTTCCGTGTTGATTTATAGTATTTCGTTTCACCATTTTGTGATATTGTTGTTGGTATAAATGCACCAATGTATATACTATATACTGAAAGGATCAACTATATGACATCAAGCAGGAACTTCAAGGGGTCATTGAATCCATATATTGAAGCGACGATCGTAACCTGCGGTGGCTAATGAAATACCATCGCAGTAGGATCTTTGCAACAGATGGTCCACCAATAGATGTGCACTCAGCTCACACTATCTCTAGTCATATCCCACTGTACCTGTCCTATCATATACCAGGAATAAATCAAGCAATGCAGCTGACGGTATGGGCGTAGAGTTTATTACTGACGTAGGATCTGGTAGTAAGATCGAGCCTACACCCATACATAGTACCAATACTGTCATACCGCATACACAGAGAGCCTCAAATATGGGGGGCTTGCATGTACTCGATGAGAGACATAGTACACGTACAGATGTAGATACACACATCGCTGTATCGAACAACGATGATACGAATATTTCTATACTGCCGGTGAAGAGACCGAATAAGCGAGCTACGCTTATACCAGGCAAAGTGACCGCTTGCAATCTACTCAGCCGTAGTGATGGTGGTGGTGGCAGTCATTTAGCCGGTACCACGAGTGTTAGCGTTAACAAGGATGATACCGTATACGAGGCTGACTTGAGTGAGGAATTGGGAGATGTCCTGGAAGCCATACTCTGTGTGTGGCAATGTATCGCCTGTGGTCATCTCTTCGAAAATGCGTATGTATATGTGCGAGATATATTTGGGGTGGTTGCTGCACTCGGAGAACTAGTTGTTGGAGTGAGTGAGAACTATGCTACTTCCACCAGTGCTTGTGTCGGATGTGTGCATGTATTAGGTCTGTTATAGTTCAAATATGATCTATTTGCTTTTCTAAAGTGGATTGATTCCCATATTTAGAAATGAGTTACAGGGTTTTAGTCCCCACATTTGGAGAAGAGTTACAGGCTATCAAGAGTATCTGAGTGGTCATCTTGACATATTTTTAAGTATGGTGACTATGCACTAGATCCCCAGATGCGTAGCGGAGTGGTTGTGTTCTTTCGGTGCAGCTAGGAATTATTTATGCGATCCAGATGACTTGCAACCACACGGAGTGATATATGTACAGAAGGAGTGGTATATATACAGAAGCAGTGGTATATCTACAGAAGGAGTGGTATACACACACACGCCCATGTCACGCGAACACCAGCGATTCCCCATGGCGGCCACCCATCGTGTTCCCATGCATGGCCTCGTATCGGTGTGAATAGTACAACGGGAAAACGGTGTGCTGGCCATCAACACGCACCGCATACCTTGCGGGTGGGCCACCTTTGTCCTAAAACCATACATTCACACAATAGTTATGTCTAGGTGGGCCAAATTTTTCCTAAAACCATACATTCACATAGTAGTTATGTCTACATAGCCCCTTCACATTGTAGTTGTTATTACCATAACCATGCATTCACATCACATTCGATCTATGCACTGCCAGTGACACAGATGAGGTGGAGCGTCCTAAGGTGCATCCCTGCACAGTGGACCCCAACGTGCGCCTGGCGTGTTGTAAGACGTGCTACAAAGCAGTGAAGAACATGCAGTTCACAGTCGACGACGAGGGGATGGAGAACGAGTGCCAGGTGTGTGCGATGGGCACTGTGTGCTGTATTATAGCAACTGTACTATGTTATAGTAACTATCCTATAACATAATATCTGTACTGTATCATAGTAACTATCCTATATCATAGTAACTGTACTGTATTATAGTAACTATCGTATATCATAGTAACTATACTGTATTATAGTAACTATCCTATATCATAGTAACTATACTATATTATAATAGCTACTACAGTACTTATCCTGTGGCACGTATGGCTTGTGTGGTGTTTATACGGTCCGAAAGTTGCACCGGTGTGTGCAATGCATGAACAACTGTCCACATTTGCCATCTGCATGTGTAGTAGTCCCTGCATGCCTAGTCCACTATGCTATAGTTTGATTGCTATACATGGGGACGATATACAGGACGCATTGAGCAGCTACGAGTGTGCTGTGGCAACCATGATGGGGTTTTAGGGTTTTAGGCTAGAATCCTAAAGCCCTAAACCTTATATATATATATATAGTTTCTGCTACGAGCACTAGATTCTATACGGATCCGCACAATCGCCAGCTCTCGCAGCATCTTAAGTGGCATCGAATGCCATCCTTCGATAT